ATTGTCCTCTACCTTAGGGTTTATCATACAAGAACACAATTCATAAGGATCTTAGGAAAATCATGTTTTCACATGCATAAGTTTGGAATTAGGAATACTAACCTTTCTATATGATTCTTGTAAACTTTGATTGCGGAAGATTCTTTGTTCGTCAAGAGCCCTTGATGATTTATTGACCCCATAGCCCTTTCTTCCTTTCATGCTTTTCTTTCTTGATGGTCATAATGATGAAGTATAAAACTCTCATGGGTGGAGATTGAAGATGGTTAGTCTCTTATTTCAAGAAACCAACAATTATCACAAAAGGACAATTCCCTATTACCATTAGATAACTACTCTCATCAAGTGGTTATGACTTTTATGACACCCTTCCCAAAGAGTCATCCAAAATTACCATTTAGCATTCATTAAATCATACACAATTATATATTTGTCCTTCACACATGAGTCACAATGAGTCAAATTTTACAATGAGTCACATGTGTCTCCTTTCAACTTTCAGCCATCTAATGACAAAGTCTTATATTTTGTGTAAAATCTAATATTGTATGTCACTTTGTCTTGATTATATGTGCTTGGTGGTTCACCTAGGTCCTTCATGAATTAAGGAAATGGATTCATAACAATGTTAGTTCTGAAGTAGCTGCATCAGTCAGAATTATCTATGGAGGTACGCCTTAGTGCATTTTACCCTTTATCCTTATATCATGTCCTTTTATTGAGATGTACATGAATAAACATATAATGAGTTTTAAGACATTAGTAAAGGCTAAAAGAAGGAAACATATCAGATGATATCCACCTTATGTTATTTACTTTTTATTTAATTACAACATATTGACTATAGGTTCTGTAAATGGAGGAAACTGCAAAGAATTGGCAGCACAACCTGATATTGATGGATTTTTTGTTGGTAGGGCTTCTTTGAAGGTAAATTTTTTGTTGAGAAGGGGGGGTATTGTTTTGTTGGTTGTGGCTGGTTACTTGGTTTCTTGCTATACATCATTTAATTGACTTCTTATTCTTTTCTGTAATTGGGCGGAGTTCATTGACATAATCAAGTTTACCACTGTGAAGAAGAATTGAAATCGAATATTAGGAACTGATATGGCTCCTTACAAGCTGCTTGGGAAGAGCTCTACTTGACTTTGTTATGTTCTTTGTGGCATATGCTTGGAGCTTGTCTTTACTACTTAATAAATACAATTTTCTTTGGTCTCTTTTGCAAGCTATCAAATGGATTTTGGTGAAGTTTCTACAGGGAATAGAAAGTGTAAAAACAGTCGATTAAAAAAAGGCAGAAGTTTTAGCTTCTTAAGTAAGATGTAAAAACAAAAAGATCAAATTTCATTTTTCAACAACAACTAATCGATCACTTGCACAAGTGTACCAAAATTCAAGTTTCTTTTTTCCATATTTTATTTAGTTTTGTTAAATATGAAAGGAAGTTAAAATAGAGTGTTCTGCCTGAGGCAGATATGTCCGACAGAAGGTCGGGTCTTTGATGTTAGATCTAGGACTTTCTCTCTAGATACCTATGAACTAGGTATCTTGGGGACAGCTGATCACTACACACTATATGATGGCTTTAGCCAGAAGGGGTGTGTGTGCACTGTGGTGTCTTAAATGAAATAGGGTTAGAGAGATCAGTCATACATGTGGTCTTTAATTAGTCCTATTTATAGAGCTTACCTCTGGGCTGATGTTGGTTGAGCTTCTTGCTGCTGTGGACCTTTCTCTGGTCCATAACATAGAGCAATTGAACGGAGATATTTACACAATGTCCCATTATTTTTGTTTTTATTTTTATTTTTTTACATTTTAGTAATGTATGAATAACAGTATTTTTGTTACCGTATGAGTGGCCTAAATTTACCAATAAAACGATGAATTTTTTGTACAAGAAATTATTATTATTAATTTTTGGTAGGTGGTACAAGAAATAAATTTAATCGAAGTAAGTTTATCCATGCATTATTCCTTTGTTGAAATAAAATAACCAACCCTGATTAAACGTTTTATCAATATCATACATAACATTTATTGTTTTTGGAAGAAAGAACAGGCGAGGTTTCTAAATTTTCATTATCTACAAATGAAATGAAACCACTGATATCTGAAATTAAATAAATTTTGACATGATACGATGCTTTAAATGCTCAGCTAGTCAACAACAAATTTTGGGTACGATACTAAATTAGCCGCAGTCGTTGAGAGATTGCTACAATCACTTTATAGTTAACCGTTGGGAACATTTTGTGGTTCAAATTATGCCAAGTCATCACTACACCGAGGAAAACTTTCCAAATTTATGCCATGAACGAGGGGGGCATGTCGCATTCCCAATATAGGAACAAGACCTTTTGGTTCATCTATCATTTGAACCACACAAATATTTATTTATGCGTAGCTTAGAAGTTTGAAATTTAACAAAAACACTTCATAACTAAGACTAAGCCAACGATAACAAGAATAGTTTTACACACTTCTCTGCCATAAAAAAAAAAAAAAAAAAAAATTATTTGACAATACTTGCTTGTCACGGATTGCTTGGTTTCCAAATATCCATAACCTTATGCCTTTTTTCACCATCCACATATTAATATGGAAATAACTCGTGGTCGACAATCTAAGTTCTCAACATGTGGCCCTACGTTTTTATTTTTTTTAAAGATATGATGGAGTTCTTTCCTCTTCTTTATATCACAATAGTCATATGTGAACATTGAAATAGTGTAAAGAAAATTTGAAAAACACTTTTGAATGTAAAAGCATTGATCGGTTCTCGGCAAAAGATCACTTCTTTTCCTCCCTTTACAAAACGAATAAGACAACGTTTTAAAAATATATCATAGGAGAGTATTAAAATACATTTTGGGAACAATACAATTGAAAAAAAATGAATTAATTAAAAATAACTTAGTACTCGTGTTCCTTTTTCTTGTTAGCAGCTATATTTGAAACTTGTACCATCCATGTGCGATGAAAAAAGTCTGATTAGTCACAAACGATTGGTGTCAAGATTTTTAGAAATAAGTTCGTACCAAATTGCATTGTTACAATTTTAATGAGCTTACATTGATTAATACAAAAAAAAAAAAAAACATTGTAGTGGCTTCATTACTTAATACATATTTAAGTACATATGCAAAGATACAAAATGAATTAGCGACATGTGTATTTTCTATGCGGGATACTCTGATATTAGTATTTGTAAATGACAAAAATGGATCACTTTTTTAAAAATTAAAAATATTATATTAAAATTTTATAATTATTTAAAATTTAAATGAAGCATTGGTAGTTCACAATAATTTAACCTTATAAATACATGTCTGCTAGCATATTAATAATTGCGGAGAATATCACATGAAATAAGAGGTTCGGCTATGAATTAGTCCAACTTGCTTCTTGTTTGCCCCTTTTTGTGAATGTGCATGTGATGCTTACGTAATTTATTTATATATGCTTTTATGTATATGAGTGTTTGTGTAAATCTAATGACATACATTTTTGAAAATTGTTGACGTGTTATGTAAATACAGAGAGCGAGAGAGAGAAGAATTATTTGGCAAGTTAAATTATAGTAAAATTCAACAAAAGGAAGATCAATTTGGTGAGGAACGTGATTTTCTTGATCAGAAGGATCCTGATTTAAATAATAATTTAGCAAATCCCACGAGGAAATTATCGGATAAGGATTTAGGGTATTGAAAACGACAAAATGGGGGCGGGTTCACCATCACTTTCCTAACGTGTCGATAATAGTGAAAATTCAAGTGGAAAAGGTAAAAAGATTCAAAAGAAAAAATTATATCTTTTGAAATTTTATATATGAAAATTTGGTGTTTATTATATGACTAGTTATATTTATAAATTTTTTATTTATAATTCTTATATTATTTGAGAATTTATTACCTGAAATATATAATGTATATTTGTAATAATTTATAAATAAAAAATTTGTAAATATAACTTACCCATTATTTTATATATATAGATTTCAATGATACCTTGCTATTGAATACTTATTAAAAATAGATAAATATTAAATTATAAACTCCTAATCAGAAGATTCAATTTTTCAATGGAAGAAAACAAACAAGGCATGTTCCCCATCAGTTGCGTAACGTGTCGTGGACATTGATGTCCAAGTGGCAAAGGCCAAAAGTATCTAACTATGCTCTCTGCATGCAGACAAGACAATAAATTGGAATAGGTTACCATAGCGTAGAGTCCAAGACTAGATTACGGTCCAAACCTGCGAATCTGCAACCATATATAAGATTAGCTGGATCTTGTTATGCAAATGATGTTAAAAATCATTTAAAGAGGATAATTTGTATTAGAGAAATTAAAAAAGTCAGAATTTATTCTGATTTTCTTCCTTATTTATAAATCATGACTGATCATACAGTGAATAGTTATGTCTATTCAACATTGAAAAGTCATATTTGTTCATTCATAAATAGTTATATCTATTCGACCATAAAAAACACATCTCTTCACCCAACTTCTTATTCATAACATTAGAATTAGGATTTTATAATTCTTATGTTGAAGGAGAATTAAAATCTTATGTTGTAGAGATAAAAAGTATGTGGGACTCGTGTGTTAAAAAAAATTACATGTAGAACCCATGTCAGCACGGAAACCGAAGGATGTATAGGAAAATTATAATTATCATGGTAAACGAGAGTTATAAAACCCTTAGAATTATATAGCAATTAGATCTCAACGAAATACAGCTAATGATAAAGCTTTGTTTGAACTTCGCAGCTGCTGAATGCAACGCAAGGGTACATAACCAAGTTTCAAGGTTGGGACCATCTAATCCAACCAAAACCAAAAGAGGGTCCATTTCACCATGAATGCAATGCCACTTGAGTGACCATACCAACCTTCATGCGTCCCCTTCAAACCCTTTATGTCTTTACTAATAATCCATCTAAGCTTTTAGCTTAAACTCGGTCAACTTGCAGCATAACACTCTATCTTGCTTCTCTGGACCACCCACTAAAGCACACTGCAACCCCCCTACATTAAAGTCTCCCTTACAGCTCAACACCATTCTATCTCTCTTATTAAGTCACTTCCTCTTTTCTCCTTCAATTCATCTATCTTTGGAGTCATATTCATTGCAAACAGGTTCTCTTGGCGTTTTCCTTCATTCATCTTTCTTGTTTCTTAACTCTCTTTTTTTTTTTTTTTTTCTTTTTCTCCTTCGGTTTCAGCTCATAATCATGGTTTCTGCTGAACCTGATGTGCTCTGTTTTTTTTGTGATCTATAGGCAACAAGGCTCAAGGAATTAGTATTGTTTCTGTTATGGGAATTTGTTTTAGCATCCATATTAAAGCTGAGAGCCAATATCTCACTGGTATTCCAAAAATTTTCTTCATTTTTGTCTCGACCCTATATGTTTTTGAATTGAGTTTAGATAGATGTGGTTCTTACGTTGATTGATTTTGATATTCTCCACTTACTTGCACTCAAGTTCAACCCTTTCTTATCCCCTTTGGTTTATAAAGATCGCAGGGAGATTTTTTATTAGGCAGAGTGTATTTAACTTTTAAGCTTAGCTTCCCTGTCTTCCAATTGTTTAATGGCTTTGATTTGTCAACTACAAACTTTTCAATTGTTCTATTGATGCCAAATATCTCGTTTCAATATATTTAATAAGTACTCCATCGGTGCTTTCATCTAGTAGTAGTCTTAAGTCTTAACCTGGAGACCTTGACTGTTTTCGCAGTAATTTACCAATGTGATTTATGACATTGTTTAGAGATTAAGGTCCAGTTTGTTAGCTCAGTAAATGTAGATACACATGTGATATGTAGATGATGAAAGTTTAATTGTGTCGATATCATCTCAGGGTTAAGTTCAAAGTATGCGAGTTCCGATGCAAATGATCTCAGAAGCCCAAGTAGTAAGGTTGAAAATGATCTCAGCAGCCCAAGTAGTAAGGTCTCAGTGCCTCAGACTCCACGGAGTGAGGATGAGATCTTGCAATCATCCAATCTGAATAGCTTTGCTTTCACAGAACTTAAGGCTGCCACCAGAAATTTTCGTCCAGACAGTGTGTTAGGAGAAGGTGGTTTTGGATCAGTTTTTAAGGGGTGGATTGATGACCAATCACTGGTTGCTGCCAAACCTGGCACTGGCACTGTTGTTGCTGTGAAAAGTCTTAATAAGGATGGCTTACAAGGTCACAAGGAGTGGTTGGTGAGTTTAACTCTAATATACTTCTTTCAATCCTTTGCTCATACTAGTTAAGAACCAAAAGATGCCTCTGTTACAAAGTTGTTAACTATTAGTATATCTTTGAGAAGATATTTACCTTATAGGCAAGGCATGGTATAATTCAAGAAGCAAGTCTCGAGGTGCCTTATCTCATCCATGTTTAATCTCTTTTAAGCTAAACTCAATTTGTGTACATGACTACATATTAAAAAAACGTGTTACAATTTCTATAGTAGCAAGAGGGCGAGCCTGAAGTAGTGGTAAAGTTATTCCTTCGTAGTTAGTCAGAGTTCGGGGAGTGGTTTTAGTACAACTTCTATAGTAATAAATAATAATATTAGTAATGGTTGGAAGACTAAGAGGAGTTTGTTTTCGGGGTTACATCAATATGATTTTTTTTCTTTACTATTTTAGGCTGAAGTCAACTATCTAGGCCAGCTTTCTCATCCTCATCTAGTGAAATTGATTGGCTATTGTGTTGAAGATGAAAACCGCCTTCTGGTATATGAATTCATGCCTCGTGGCAGCTTGGAGAATCACTTGTTCAGGAGTGAGTTCTTCTTAATGTCCATATTTTCACAGTGTTGAAATTGAGAAACGTGCGTGACATCACCAATATTGTTGCAACAGGAGGCTCATATTTTCAACCTCTTTCTTGGAGCCTGCGTTTGAAGGTTGCTCTTGATGCTGCCAAAGGGCTTGCATTTCTTCACAGTGCTGAAACAAAAGTGATCTATCGAGATTTCAAGACTTCAAATATCTTGCTTGATTCAGTATGTGCCCCTTGTACACACAAGCACATCCCAATTAAGTTTGATGAATATAGGACATTATTTAGATATCATCTCTGAATTTATTTATTTTAATTTTAATTTTTTTGCTGATTTGATCACAGAATTATAATGCAAAACTCTCTGATTTTGGGCTGGCAAAGGACGGACCAACAGGTGACAAAAGTCATGTCTCAACCAGGGTAATTGGAACATATGGATACGCAGCTCCTGAATATCTAGCCACTGGTATAGTGAGGTTCATGTTAGTGAACCATTTATATTTCAGTTTTTTTCAAGACTCAACTTAAGATCATTTTGGTTAATGACTATAATAAAAACTTTTGTTGGTGAAGGTCATCTCACTGCTAGGAGTGATGTCTATAGTTTTGGAGTTGTACTACTTGAAATGTTATCAGGAAGGCGTGCTGTTGACATGAATAGACCTTCAGGACAGCACAATTTGGTGCAATGGGCTAAGCCATACTTAGCCAACAAGCGTAAGATTTTGCGTGTGTTGGATAACCGTCTTGAAGGGCAATATGAAATAGATGAGGCCTATAAGGTAGCTACAGTCTCTCTACGATGCCTTTCAATAGAATCCAAGTTGAGACCACACATGGACGAGGTTGTTACAAATTTGGAGAAGCTGCAGGTTCCTCATGTTAATCAAGGCAATCGAAATGGCTCTCGTGTTCGTAGAAAAAGTGCTGATGATGTTTCCCGTGGTAGAATCATCACACCTTATCCCCGCCCCAATGCTTCTCCACTCTCTACATGAAATTGCAAATACACATCCTTGAAAGCTGAATGTCTCTCCCACCATGAAGTCCAGCATGTCCATGTATGACATGTTATCTAAGATATTGTACATATCTTATCACATCTAATATATTCAGAACCAACCTGAGAGCGCCAATGTCTACATGACATTAGTATTGCATGTATTCTGGGTTCTGTCAACTGTTTTGTAACAATCAAAATAGATGGGAATGCATGTGCTTTTGTATGTGGCTCTGGTTTGCTCAATTTTGTTGCGGTTTATATTGTTAACTTTACTAGTCTATTTTGTCACACTTGCAATGTGAAGCTTTCACATCCAACTTACAATGAAACTCATATGCTTTCACATCTTGCATTTTTTTTTTCCTCATCTTGACACAAAAGGAACTGTAGTGTAGATTTTATTTTGGAATATGATACGATAAACTGTAAAGTGTGTAGGTCATTACGAAGGGATTACTAAAGAGAAAAAGCCGCATCAAATCTTATCTAAAATATATTAAAAATCATAGCCTTGGAAACTAATTGGATCCTCAATGTACTTAACTGCATGTTGCAAAAACCATACGTGATTGGGTATAAAGCCGCAAAGCATTCCATCCACCTTACGACAATGGCCAGTAGCAGAGTCACTTATTCCTTAGAACAGCCCTGAGCAAATATATGCTACGGTTGTGTCTCCTCAATCCTAGTCCTGAAGTAAAGAACCCTAACCCACAAGAGAAGAAAGAATATAATGTTGTAGAATGTTCACAGGGTACTCCGCCTGTCTGTAATGTTAATAATTTGGAACCTTTACCATAATTGTCAAACTAAATCTATTTTTTCTTTTTTTGGTTGATAGTGACTTAAAAATTTAAGTTGTGCTTGATTGAAACTATCTCAATCGGAAATAATGGAACACACTCTTGCATTCAAACCAAAGTCACTAGGGCCATTGTTGTGACAAGTGACTCATGATGCATGATTCACTATCAATTCAATCAGTTTTGGAGGCACTCTGGGAGTCTGGGGGCCTCATCTATCTCTTTCTGCATCAAGAGGAATGGGTGACAAATGATGGATAAATAATTAATTTGGTTCCAATTTTGTGGGTTGTATATAAAATAACTTTTAAATTTTATAATTAATATCAAGTTAATCATTCTATCAACAAATCATAACAAAAAACACTAATTTAACACGTTGTGTTTACATGTCTCTATTCTAATGTTTCACTTGTTTTTATGAAACAATCAGAAGGACTTAATAGTCCTTACAAAAAATTTGAAAATTATTTTGTATACTACAAACTTTCCTCTACTTAGAATGAAATATGAGAAAGCGAAACCCAAGAACTCAGTTCCAGTGCAGTATTAGCACTTTGTTAGCTAATAGAACATTTCCCATTTGATAGAAAATTACCAAGTTGCAAGGCTCAATCGAGTATAGCTGAAAAACTTAATTCCAGTTGTTACTGCATTTGGAGAAGGCCAAACTACTTAATATTATAGCTTTCCTCAAAATTAACCTGTACATACAACTATTAATAGATACAAAAATGGGGATATATCAGTATGTTAACTGTGTGCCTATGACAATGTCGATTTCACTGAAAACTAAGTGATCACCAAACATTGCGATAAGCATGCACTGTAGTGGAATATTTTGCTTTCCAAGATATGCAAATCACTTATCACCAAGTTCTTATTAAGCCAGGCGCCCAATTTTTCCAATCCAACCTTCCAATAGACTTATTTCTTAAGCTGACCATGTCTCTGAATTCAAAGACCTTCTTCAGATAATTATTCCCCTGTTTAGCTGGTTCAGGTTCAGTGTCCTCTACAGATAACTTTACTTCTTTTTCTTCTCCAGTTGCTACGACATCTTGGGAAATATATTCATCCTGAGGAACTGTCTCATTAATAATGCTTCCAAGAAACTCAACCACCTCACTCATTTTTGGACGGGACTTTGGCTGCTTCATGAGACACTTGTTTGCTAGGGTAGCAAGTTTATGAGCTGATTTGATGCAATACTGTCCTTCAAGTCGAGGGTCTACAATAAGATTGAACCTCCTAGGATCAGAAACATAAGGTCTTACCCACTCCAAAAGTTTTTGTTCATTTTTTGGTAGGTTTCTTTCAACAGCTCTCCTCCCAGTGATAAGCTCATAAAGAACTACACCAAAGCTCCACACATCACTCTTAGCAGTCAGCTTACCAGTCTGAACATACTCTGGCGCAGCATAACCTATGGTGCCAACAACCTTTATGAAGAGGAAATAAGTCATTTGTTTTACATATCAGCAGAATATCAGGATCACAAACAAAAAGGTTTAGACTTCAAACCATCATTATGACCTCATAAATTAGACTCGTTTAGCAATGAATATGGTGAAATATATCTAATAATCTACACCAAATATGTTTCCAGAAGGCATGTTATTGTGATGTTATCATGCAATATTGTCGAAATTTCCACCAATGGTATGTTTGAAACTAGAATATAATGAGTTTTCTCCAGAATATAGACATTTTCTTACTGCTGTTGAAACATAGCCAAACCCTTCTGAGGGTCCTTGCCTAGCAAGTCCAAAATCAGAAAGCTTTGCATTGAAGTCCTCATCAAGCAAGATGTTGGACGTCTTAAAATCTCGAAATATTAGCTGCACGAGTAAGAACATGAATCATAAATGTGTTTCTGCAAAAATTCTCTACGGATTTTAGCTTACACGAAATGATGACAAAGACATCCAGGTAGAAACTGTCCACAAACATCAAATTGAATTAAGTCATGACAAAACCATAAGGGGCATATTTTACAAACCATTGTTAAAATGCCAAATAGGAATGTGTAAGTAACTAGTTCTTGATAACTGTTTTATATTTCTATTTCAACATTAAGCTAAACAAGGGAAAAAAAAATATTTTTTCAATGTTTGCTTCACTTACATAAAGTTTACAAACAGTGCTTGAAAAACTCATGAATTGCATATCCTGATCAGTGATTTTATCAACAGAAACCACAACGACCCATGTCTTTGGCAAAACAAATAAATGACCACAGACCTAAGAAACTGATTCCCTGAACGATTATGATGCATTACAAGACAAAGGTACAATTAGTTCTACTGTACCTGAAAATCCATATCTTCATGAAGGTATGCCAAACCACGAGCAGCATCTTGAGCAATCTTTAATCTAGTCGTCCATGGGAGTGTTGATGGAACTCGAGCCAAAAGATGGTCTTCCAAGCTCTTATTAGGCATAAGCTCATACACCAAAAGTCTTTGAATCCCTCTTTCATCATCTTCTGCGCAGTAACCCACTAACCTCACCAGATTTGGATGCTTGATTACACCCAATAAGTTCACTTCATTAATCCACTCCCTATGCCCCTGAAAACTAGAAATGCAAGAGAAACAAAAACACCCCCATAAACATAGCTCCTTTAACAACCCATCAATCTGGTAAAAAAAAAAAAACTAGAACATTAGTTATTCCTAGCATACCAAGCATGAAAAAAAATCTCTTTTTTTTCCCTTTATAGTATTTTAAATACAAAATAATTTAACTAAAACAAGCATACCCTTGAATTACAATAATCTAAAAAAAAAAAAAAAACTTTTTTTTTCAAAAAATAATATAAAATCCTAATAAAATTAAAATTATAAGCATGCCTGGTGGCCATTACGATTCAACTGCTTGATAGCAACATCGATTTGGGAACGATGATTGTGATTAAGAAACCCTCTGTAGACGCAACCAAAGCCTCCCTCTCCAATCAAGAGGGCTCTGCTGAAGCCACGTGTAGCGGATTTAAGCTCCGAGAAGGAGAAGATTCGGAGGTGGTTGGCTCGCCGCTGCGACAGGAACTCGTGGAACCCAACCGTGTCGGAGAAGTCCCTTGACTCGGAGTCAAACTCGGACCTGCGTGTATCCATGAGGCTGAGTGAGCGTGCCCATGACACCCTCGAAGCCCTTACTACTCCCTCTTCCTCATCTCCTCGCCTCTCTCCGTTTGTGAAATGAAAGCACTTCATTTGCAGACCAAAATGGAAGCAAAAGAAGGTAGGAGTCAAGAGTCAGGAATTCAGAACAAAAACAATGACCAAACCTGAAAGGAAATGCCATTGCTCCCACTTAGACAGAGATTGGAATCATAATAAAATATTATAATATTTTTTAAAAATAAAATAAAATTAGTTTTTAGATAAATGTTGAAAATTTATACATAAATATGTATAAATAACATTGTTTATTTATAAACTAGAGGAAGGATATTAAAGGTAAAAAAAAATATTACTATTGTTAATTTTTTAATAATAATCTTGACCAATAAAAAAAATAACAAAGATATAACATAAGTAATTGAGATAGGTTATTCTATTTATTATTTTTTCTGTTTATTTTTTCCTACCACTCTTCAATACCGTTAGATCAGAATCTCAATATGAAAGAGAAAAATAAATGTTAGTTAAGTTTCTGATAGGTAAAAGTAAGAAGAAAAAATAGTAATAAAATTAATGTATCCAATTAATGAGAAAACTCTTAAAAAACTACCAACCCCAATTCGAACACTTCTATTCAATTGGAGGAGAAATCCACCGTAATGAATCAAGCTCAATTCAAAATGGAATAGTAGAACCTGTTCTATGGAGTTCACCCAAAAATACATCTACAATTAGGCCCCATAACTTATGCCTAATCACCAAACTATTGGCAATTTCGAAATATATTTTTAACTTAACTTTAAGTTAAAAGTATAATATCACAATTATCATTTGATAATTGTTCTCCCATTGCTTACTCCAACACTAGCAAAAACAAAAACAAAATTACAAAATAACAGTTTGAGAGTTATCTTACAAGTTTTTAATCAATAAGCAAATAGGTACAAATCAAATCTAAGAAGTGGACTCAATAAATTTGTTCATATCTTGATTGTTTAATTGTGTTGAATGCACCTTAAGAAGAAATACTCATAATATGTTCATTACTTTTTTTTTTATCTTGAAGACTCACAAAGAAGAAAGACTCACAATGAATCTGTTCATGCCTTTATTGTCGAATTATGTTGAAAGCGCCTTAAGAAAAAATACTCGTAATATATTCAACACATTTTTTTTTCTTTTGAATGCTCACATAGAAGAAAGACTCACAATATTATTTTTATACAAGTTTCTCAAAATTAATTACCAATAAAAATATCAAAAAAATTGCACTAAATATGTTACTCAAAGTTACCACAATTTTTAACAAATCTTTCCAATTTTTGTTTAAAATAGGATCAAAATTTTCAAATTAACTTTCTAAAATTAAATAAAATAGAATCAAATCTTTCAAAAAAAATTAATTTTAAATTAATTTTCTTCAAATCAAAAATCAAATTTTAAAACTCTATTTAGATTAAAAAAAAAATTCTATCTTCTTTTCTTAGTTTCCAAAACTTTAGGATAATATAACCTAAGCCACGATCAAGATTCAACCATCCAACTATTACATGAAATGTAAAAAAATTTCTCGTACTTTTGATCATAGTTATCAATATCGTACGATACACGATATGATTCATACGATACGAGATGATTCACAAGCGCAACGATACGTATCGTAGGATATATCAAAAAGGGATTTGCATCGGACGATACGATACTATATTATATGACACGAAAATTAAATTAGAATTTATAATTTTTAATATAAAAAAAGAATTTAAGATTTGATTTATTATTTAAATTAAAAAATCTAAAAAAATATTATTAATAAGAAAAATAAAATAAAGATTCGATTTGTGATTTAAACTCAAATTAAAATCAATCTGAAAAATCTGAATTAATAAAAGAATAACTAAATAAATATTTTAATATATTTTTTAAATTATTTTTTATTATATTAATGTATCTTACGATTCGATACGATTCACGATATACGATATAAAAAACAGGTCAAATGATACGCGATACGTATTGCGATACAACAACATTGCTTTTGATCTTCGTGATCTTATTAAATCCAGCTACAAATAATAAAATCTAAACAAATTGTTATATTATTGACTTCATTTGTTTGTTATTATCAAAATTAAACAAGGTGTGAGATCCAACAAATATAAAATTATCAATGTGATTTTTCTCCATCAATTATTATTTTATATTATATTTTAACCTTCGAGATTAACTGGTGACATATTTAATCTTTATCATTCCTCTTTTTATTAATAAATAATTTAATATTATATTTATGTATTACGATGTCGTGGAACAGGGGTAAGAAAATATATGACTAAAAAAAAGTACTTTTATAGGAGAGTAGGTCATTGGTTAGTTTGTTTTTCTTTGCTTCGTACTATAGGTTGAAATCATTCACTTCAATGTTTTTTCACCCTTCCCAAGTGCGATTCTACATGTGCCAAGATGTATTGACTTTAACTTGATTTCAATATAGTATGATATTTTGAACGAGTCAAATTTTTTGAATTCAGCTTTTTAGTTGCAACAAGGTTAATTTGATTTTTAGACGAAATAAATAAAATTAAATATTATTTATAATTAAGTTATAGAATTTTATAAATTAAAATTAAAATTGATCATTTTTAATAATATATCTATTTTAAAATAAATTATAAATGTATAAATATGTTATCATATCATATAAAAATAAATTTGAGTAAAAAAATAGTTTAAAATTAAATATCCTTTTAAATAAATTAAATTATTATGTAACATCATATATGTAAAGTTGTTAGAAATTGTCTTACCGAATGGGATGTTGACGAGGAGCTCATTTTCTCTGCTCCATTAATACATTTATCTTGTCCAAAAATAAAAAATAGAGTAAATACTCTTTTCGGTCATCTGTAAATTTTACGATACCCGCTTTAGTCCCTAATAATAAAAAGGCTATTCGTGGTCTCTAAAAAATTTAAAATTGACCCATTTTAGTCCTTTTGAAAGATTAATATAGATCTTTTTTAAATTTGTGAAAGACTACGATTTCAACTAAATAAATCCATTTTGAATTTTTTAGGGACCACGAATAGTCTTTTTATTTGCTAGGGACTAAAGCGGGCATCGTGAAATTTACTGAGGACTAAAAAATGTATTTACTCTAAAAAATATAGGATCTTTTTTGAAAAAAATATAAAAATAAAAATAATATAAAATTATTACTTTTTATTATATTTGATAAAAAATTTACTAAATATTCGAAACAGCAAGAGCACCTAAAATATTTTCCTTGACGAGTACGATGTCAGTTAAGAGAGTGTTTGGTATAAGTTTTTTTTTGGGATTGTTGGGAAAGTTTGGGTGAGTATTGAAATATATCATGTTCGGTACAAATTTGACAAAAATTATTCCAATAAAATATGTTGCTTAGTATTTGTGATTTGTGTTGAAATTGTGATGAAAGTTACTCTTTCAAAATACCACTTCCAATGTGATATTTTGCGATAACCGGGTAAGTGAAAAAATGAGCGCAATATCATGGACCAAAATGACCCTCTCATTGTGTAAAGTGAGTGTGTATTTCATATTCAAAAATTACAAAAGGGTTATTTTTGTATTTTCAACTTATTTTTCATCAATATTTTACTTTCAACTAAACTCAGTAAATTTAATCCAATTTTTTTATAATATTTCGGCTTAATAAATAATTTTTTTTTTTAACTTTTCTACTAAATTTATATTTCCATTATATTTTTAGTAATTATATTTCCTTTATAAAACTCTAGATGTTTACCCAAAAACAAAAACAAAATTGTAAATTGTGGTGACTGCTGCTGTTCTTGGACAATGATGAGAGGGGAGGTTGGATAATAATCATCGTCGTTACCAAACAAGTGAAACAACGTTGTGGGGTCCCGAGGGGTAGCTAAAACTAAACGTTGTGGGTGTCGGGGAATTTTCTTGCAGACACTTACTTTTCAGTTTTCACGACGCCGTCTCATTTCAGGGTCAAAATTATATGCTTTTAAGTTTTAACACGAGACTATTCTTTGTTGAAAATTCAATCAGTTGTTTTAAATTTTTAACTAGCGTTTGATGAATAATTGATAACAAAAATGTTCTTTAAAAAGATTGCTAATTTTTTAAAATTAAAGAAAATAAACATGTGCATAGCTATTTCCCATAACAAAGTAAAAAAATGCAATAAATGCGTTGACTTTTGAAACTATAAGGAGGATTAACGTTTTTTCCTTAAATAGAAAACTGCACCACTCCCATAATCTTAAAATAAAATAAAAAACAGAAGCCGCCAAGTGAAACTACAATTGGTATACAACAAGATGTTCGCCTGATTTTATTTTATTTTCTTATGGGTTTTATTAGGGTTCAATTTTTATTTTTTTGCAATCGGTAAGTTTATATGGAGTTAGACAGCGATATGTCATTGGATTAGAAAAGATCCCTCAATCTCATTGAGAATTTCTGAGTGTGACTTCATATCACTTTACCAACAAAATTCTCACGTCCCAGCAAGGTTCAAACTCACCCCTTCGTAAGATGTGAGCCAAATTCTTAAACAATCGTGCCACATTTGTTGATGGGTATAATTTTTTATGGGATATTGTTGTCCCACTTGTATCATTTTTTAGGCTATATAGCCTATTTTTTAAGAGATTAATATTTCTAGTGTTATAGTCTTATAGAAGATAATTTTATCTTTTACAAATGCATAAAAGTGTGTGAGATTTTTTTTTTATTTCTCTTCTCTTCACATTGCCCGACATTGGCTCCACACATTTTTATGTATGTGTATAAAATAATTTTATTTCTTACAATACAAGAAATATTAATCTTATTTTTTTAATCAGCATTTATATTCTGAAAGTATAAAACTTGTCCGATATTATTACTTTGAAGATATTTCTTTTAGGCTGACTTATATATATCACTGGTGCCATGTAAGTTATAGACATTCCCTTCGTTTATTATATTAAATTATAAAATATGTAAGAGATAATTTTTATCTCCTACACACACATAAAAGTATGTGAGATTAATGTTTTTTTTCTCTCTTCTCTTTACATAACCTCACGTCGGCCTTATACACTTTTATGTATGTATAGAAAATAATTTTATCTCTTATAATATAAGAAATATTAATCCCTTAAATTT